AGTCATCACATGTGTTGGTGTAACTGTGTAGTCATCCCATGTGTTGGTGTAACTGTGTAGTCATCCCATGTGTTGGTGTAACTGTGTAGTCATCCCATGTGTTGGTGTAACTGTGTAGTCATCCCATGTGTTGGTGTAACTGTGTAGTCATCACATGTGTTGGTGTAGGTGTGTAGTCATCCCATGTGTTGGTGTAACTGTGTAGTCATCCCATGTGTTGGTGTAGCTGTATAGTCATCACATGTGTTGGTGTAACTGTGTAGTCATCCCATGTGTTGGTGTAGCTGTGTAGTCATCCCATGTGTTGGTGTAACTGTGTAGTCATCCCATGTGTTGGTGTAACTGTGTAGTCATCCCATGTGTTGGTGTAGCTGTGTAGTCATCCCATGTGTTGGTGTAACTGTGTAGTCATCCCATTTGTTGGTGTAACTGTGTAGTCATCCCATGTGTTGGTGTAACTATGTAGTCATCTCATGTGTTGGTGTAACTGTGTAGTCATCCCATGTGTTGGTGTAGCTGTGTAGTCATCACATGTGTTGGTGTAACTATGTAGTCATCCCATGTGTTGGTGTAGCTGTGTAGTCATCCCATGTGTTGGTGTAACTATGTAGTCATCCCATGTGTTGGTGTAACTGTGTAGTCATCCCATGTGTTGGTGTAGCTGTGTAGTCATCCCATGTGTTGGTGTAGCTGTGTAGTCATCCCATGTGTTGGTGTAACTGTGTAGTCATCCCATGTGTTGGTGTAACTGTGTAGTCATCACATGTGTTGGTGTAACTGTGTAGTCATCCCATGTGTTGGTGTAGCTGTGTAGTCATCCCATGTGTTGGTGTAACTGTGTAGTCATCCCATGTGTTGGTGTAACTGTGTAGTCATCACATGTGTTGGTGTAACTGTGTAGTCATCCCATGTGTTGGTGTAACTGTGTAGTCATCCCATGTGTTGGTGTAACTGTGTAGTCATCCCATGTGTTGGTGTAACTGTGTAGTCATCCCATGTGTTGGTGTAACTGTGTAGTCATCACATGTGTTGGTGTAGGTGTGTAGTCATCCCATGTGTTGGTGTAACTGTGTAGTCATCCCATGTGTTGGTGTAGCTGTATAGTCATCACATGTGTTGGTGTAACTGTGTAGTCATCCCATGTGTTGGTGTAGCTGTGTAGTCATCCCATGTGTTGGTGTAACTGTGTAGTCATCCCATGTGTTGGTGTAACTGTGTAGTCATCCCATGTGTTGGTGTAGCTGTGTAGTCATCCCATGTGTTGGTGTAACTGTGTAGTCATCCCATTTGTTGGTGTAACTGTGTAGTCATCCCATGTGTTGGTGTAACTATGTAGTCATCTCATGTGTTGGTGTAACTGTGTAGTCATCCCATGTGTTGGTGTAGCTGTGTAGTCATCACATGTGTTGGTGTAACTATGTAGTCATCCCATGTGTTGGTGTAGCTGTGTAGTCATCCCATGTGTTGGTGTAACTATGTAGTCATCCCATGTGTTGGTGTAACTGTGTAGTCATCCCATGTGTTGGTGTAACTGTGTAGTCATCCCATGTGTTGGTGTAGCTGTGTAGTCATCCCATGTGTTGGGTGTAACTGTGTAGTCATCCCATTTGTGGTGTAACTGTGTAGTCATCCCCATGTGTTGGTGTAACTGTGTAGTCATCCCATGTGTTGGTGTAACTGTGTAGTCATCCCATGTGTTGGTGTAACTGTGTAGTCATCCCATGTGTTGGTGTAGCTGTGTAGTCATCACATGTGTTGGTGTAACTATGTAGTCATCCCATGTGTTGGTGTAGCTGTGTAGTCATCCCATGTGTTGGTGTAACTATGTAGTCATCCCATGTGTTGGTGTAACTGTGTAGTCATCCCATGTGTTGGTGTAACTGTGTAGTCATCCCATGTGTTGGTGTAACTGTGTAGTCATCCCATGTGTTGGTGTAACTGTGTAGTCATCCCATGTGTTGGTGTAGCTGTGTAGTCATCCCATGTGTTGGTGTAGCTGTGTAGTCATCCCATGTGTTGGTGTAACTGTGTAGTCATCCCATGTGTTGGTGTAACTGTGTAGTCATCACATGTGTTGGTGTAACTGTGTAGTCATCCCATGTGTTGGTGTAGCTGTGTAGTCATCCCATGTGTTGGTGTAACTGTGTAGTCATCCCATGTGTTGGTGTAACTGTGTAGTCATCACATGTGTTGGTGTAACTGTGTAGTCATCCCATGTGTTGGTGTAACTGTGTAGTCATCCCATGTGTTGGTGTAACTGTGTAGTCATCCCATGTGTTGGTGTAACTGTGTAGTCATCCCATGTGTTGGTGTAACTGTGTAGTCATCACATGTGTTGGTGTAGGTGTGTAGTCATCCCATGTGTTGGTGTAACTGTGTAGTCATCCCATGTGTTGGTGTAGCTGTATAGTCATCACATGTGTTGGTGTAACTGTGTAGTCATCCCATGTGTTGGTGTAGCTGTGTAGTCATCCCATGTGTTGGTGTAACTGTGTAGTCATCCCATGTGTTGGTGTAACTGTGTAGTCATCCCATGTGTTGGTGTAGCTGTGTAGTCATCCCATGTGTTGGTGTAACTGTGTAGTCATCCCATGTGTTGGTGTAACTGTGTAGTCATCCCATGTGTTGGTGTAACTGTGTAGTCATCCCATTTGTTGGTGTAACTGTGTAGTCATCCCATGTGTTGGTGTAACTGTGTAGTCATCCCATGTGTTGGTGTAACTGTGTAGTCATCCCATGTGTTGGTGTAACTGTGTAGTCATCCCATGTGTTGGTGTAGCTGTGTAGTCATCACATGTGTTGGTGTAACTATGTAGTCATCCCATGTGTTGGTGTAGCTGTGTAGTCATCCCATGTGTTGGTGTAACTATGTAGTCATCCCATGTGTTGGTGTAACTGTGTAGTCATCCCATGTGTTGGTGTAACTGTGTAGTCATCCCATGTGTTGGTGTAACTGTGTAGTCATCCCATGTGTTGGTGTAACTGTGTAGTCATCCCATGTGTTGGTGTAGCTGTGTAGTCATCCCATGTGTTGGTGTAGCTGTGTAGTCATCCCATGTGTTGGTGTAACTGTGTAGTCATCCCATGTGTTGGTGTAACTGTGTAGTCATCACATGTGTTGGTGTAACTGTGTAGTCATCCCATGTGTTGGTGTAACTGTGTAGTCATCCCATGTGTTGGTGTAACTGTGTAGTCATCCCATGTGTTGGTGTAAACTGTGTATTCATCACATGTGTTGGTGTAACTGTGTAGTCATCCCATGTGTTGGTGTAACTGTGTAATCATCCCATGTGTTGGTGTAACTGTGTAGTCATCCCAT